GCATAGTTAGTTGACTTATATAAAGACATGAATGAAGAGAGCTAATATTTAATTGTAGAACAATTCAAGTTTACAGTATAAATTCCTGAATACATAATCATCTTTAGCATAAAACCTACAAACATTAAACCCATCTATATTAAGCCTGTTGAAACTTTGTCACCTTACATATAAATAAGTTGTTCATGATGGTATACTAGTAAATTAACATTAACAAATGTTAATTGCCTTTCATGGCGAGAACAGTGCTTCCCATACGTGACACCCTTAGCCTGGACGCCTTGGAGCACTCTGCGGCCCTGCAAGAACGAATGCCTCTCACATTTGACTGGTGACTAATGCTACTATGTCCAGCCTTCTCTCCCACTTGTGACTTAGCCTTTCCCAGCCTTCTGTGCTCATTACCCAGTTGTGCTGTGTAAGGAACAACTGTTTCCACGAGGACATCATTGTCCAATTTTAAAAGAGCACAGTTCCCTTCCAAAACATGTACCAGAACTGATTATTCATTGTTGGCTTAGTTCTTCAAGAGCCCAGTTGGTATATTTGTTCTGTTTGGTTTTGTTTTCATTTTTCTCTCTCCTTCCACATGGTCATTACAGAGACAGGGAAACAGGGAGGACACCAGAAAGACATTTTCAGGTCGCCAAATTTGTATTATGCTCTCCGTAATTTTCACCAAAGAAACTTGAACGAAATTACACAATAGACTGTGATAAGTTACACAGTCACCTGATAGGGAGCCCTCTGTGCAGTACTTAGTGTATAAAGTAGAGAAAACCATCACTCAGTTTAAATATTGGCTGTGTGAGACAATGTGCCAGATAGAATATTGGGAAATGCCAATGAAAGCGAGGTCTGTAGGCTCAGGGAGAGGCAAAGTGCAGGTCTCTGAAGGCAGGTACACGTGGGGCCATTGAGGTACAGGAAGAAAAAACATTGGGATTTCTCCTCAGGTTTTATATGTCATTCTTTCAAATTTCTTTTCTGTGTCTGTAACATGCATATCTATTAATATAGAGTAATATATATATATATATGTTATCGATAACAGAAGTCTTTTAACTGATAAGGGTGCACAATCAAAAATATTTTGAAACCACTGGGCAGGAATGTAAGGGAATATATCAACCAAAGACCTTATAGTATTTAAGAAATGTATTAGCATCTGCTAATAAGCCATTTGCAAGAAACGTTCAACCAACTATTTTTTGCATTAGCTAATCTTTTCTTTAAGCTTTTCTTTACCACTACCTGGAGTTCATATGCAACCTGAAAGAACCAGACAACTGTTGTGATGCTCACCACATTCCCAGGGTCACAGTGTTTCATAGTGTAGCTAGACTATAAATGAAACAATCAGAGGATCTTCTTCCACCGCCCCCACCCCCAACTTATGATGCAGCCAGAAATGACCCTCCCTGGGCTCAGAATTCAAGTTAATTTGTCAGTAACTTCATTGTGATCCTCAAATCTATTAATGAAATTTTGCATAGGAAAAAGAACTTTGTATGTATGTTCTCTTTGCTTTATTGAAATTGGAATAAAAAAAGTGTCATCTGACACAGGACTAATTTATATGTTGTAAACATAAATATAATTTGAGAGAGAATTTACTCCTGCATAGGCCCAGAATTCATGAATACGTTAGATACAAATTAAAATGTCATTGTAGCGGTGAGACACTTCCTCATTAGGAATTACAGAAGGTCCTATACATGTCCTGTGGTTTGCATGTGGTCTTCGATACTTTGCCAAACTTTCAGAAAACAGTCACTCAAATTACCAAAGAGCTGAGTTGTGGCCAGTGCTCCAATGGTGAACTGGCGCACTGAAAGAAAATCAATCAGGAAGCAGACCTCACCAAGTGCTTGCCTCCTCTTCCAAAGCAAGTCTCTTCTAGAAGAAGAGAAGCAAGGGTTTAAAAAAAGAAAGAAACCAGAAGAGAAGTGAGAAGGAGACGAAGAAGAAGAGGGCAGAAAGAGAAGAAGATAAAGGTGCTTTCACGATTTCAGTTGCAACAGTAGCCCCAGTTGACTTAATTGGTATTCATCTGAGAAAAAAAAAAAAGGCAAGGAAACCAATTGAAAATTATAAAAGGAAATAAAGGTCTGTTTTTGTCTTGAATGTTGAGTTCTGTGTTGTTTTGACTGTTGAGCACAGTGAGTCAGATTTTATAATGTGACTCTGCCCCTCACCCCTCTCCTTTAAAAATAAAAGGACTCTTTGTCTAGTCTTAAAATGTTAAGTAATTGGTGGCATTTTGTGGTAGCCTGGCATCTCAATCCTTCATCCTTCCTCATCCCACTGCTGCGTCTTGTGGTGTTGCCTATGTGTATGGTGTGCAGGGCTGGGGGAAGGGGGCCTTACTGATCTCTGCTATCTCTAGTCCATTACTCTACTTGGAAGTGTTTCTGTGTTCCGTCTCATTGTGATTCCTTGTTCAAATGTGCTGCCCAGAGATAAATCCATACTTGATTCTTCTAACAGCTGCCAAACCAGATTCTTTGTAGAATTATGTCATCCTTTGACTGAATGCTTCCCCCTGCCCATAATGGCAAGAAAGAAATGAAAACTTTCAGTTTTTAGTTCTGTTTGTCACTTTTTATATTAAATCTTTACTTACCCTTGAAGTAAAATTACACTGAAATTTTATAAAAAAATCAATCATCTGGCCCCATATTCCACAAACTTTAAGAATTGGGGAGAATGGAAACTGGGTAAGAATTTTTTTTTTCAAAAAAATATATACTCCCTACAGTATTAGGTAATACAGAAGGGTATTATAAAATAAAAATTTACTATGTGAAAATACTTCTGCCTCCCTTAAGTCCTGAAACTATAATGTGAATTGCTTTTTTCCTTTACTTTCCCTCAAGAACTGAAAAACTAATAATACATTAGGCTACCTGATATCTAAACTACTCTAATTCACATCTCTTAGGCCTCTCATTTCTCCCCTACCCTCTGCTCTATGAAATTATATCTGGCTTTTAGATGCAGTCTTGCCTTGAGGCAAAAAGAATGATAACTCCTAAATAATTCCTCAGGGTCCTTTCCTGGCCTGTGATTTTATGAAATGGAATTATGCTCTTCAAATGAATCCTCGTTTTTACAATTCCATTCAGTTACTCTGAATGACCTTATGATTTTGTGCCTTGTTGGCTCCAAACCATTCTCAGTTAAACTTCCTTATCTCACTTCCATCTTCTTCTTAGCCCCTAAAGCAGTTCCTCCTTTTTGCAGTCCTCTGCCCTGCCCCCACCCCTTAAAATCCTCTAGGTGTTGCAGGCACTGAAGGATGAACCAATAACAGAGAATTAAAATGTTGTTATTTAAAGGGATTTTTGTATTTTTAGATTATAGTTCTAACTTAGATATATGATTAGGAAGCTAAAATTTGTTATAGAATAATTAATGCTAGCATGTGCTGATAACAGTCATACTTAACAGTAGTTGCTAACCTCAGCAGCAGAGCCAAAAATTGAATATGAAACTTAAATGAAGCTACTTTTTCATCCTAAAGGTGATACCCTCAAGTTAAGGGACTGGCTCTGGGGCCAGTTTTAGGTACCGTCTTTAAAAAATTTTTTTTTAGAATGCTACATTTAAGGGAGTCTCACAAATTCATTAACACGTACTGGTAAATATATAGCTCAAATGATTACTGACAAAATTGGCAATCTAGAATTTTTATTAAAATCCTGGATTCTTGAGCCAGACTGCCCGGTTGGAATTCTAGCTCCACCACTTAACTAAATGTGACCTTGAGAAAGTTACTTCCCTGCTATAAAATGAAAATCAAGTAGATCTTCTCCTAGTATTGCTGTGAGGAATAATGAGATCATGAGTGTTAAGCATTTACCCTACTCCCTGGCACATATAAATGCTAACTACATTGTTACCAGTTAGGGAGGGTTTTGGGGGGGGGCTGGGGGGGTTTTTTTGTAAGTACATCAGAAAGCCTAAAGTATTCACATGGACCATTGTAGAATGAACAATATTCCATATTTACTTCTTGGGCCAATGTAATTAACATTCCTCAAATGGGACTCTTTGGCTCTCTATTAAAGGAAATGTGATAGAGCCCTAATCCTATCTCCCAATCCAAGCAAAATCCAAGTTCATCTTTGTTTATCATTGTTGAGAAAGATATGACATCAGTATTCACACAATTAAATAATAAGATGGGAATTGGATTTGTTCAAATAGATCTAAGACCCTTTCCTGAACCAGTCTCTTAATTTTTTCTCTCAAATATATTTAATTGGAGTGTTTTCTTCCCAGGTCTTACAAATGCTAAGTAGTTTCTTTTAGATCGTGCCAGATTTCCCCTTACATTTGCATGTAAATATTCCCATATTTCATTCTAATTAAAGCGGTGTCATTGATGATAATTTATGATCATTTACCATATTTACAATGTGGCAGGCATTACTATGGCAGTCACATGAAACCTAATAATGCTCTACACCACACAATTGGAAGATTTTTACAATCATATACGCCAGTGAATGTCATTCCATCTTATGAAGTCTGGAAAATTGTTAAAATCAGTTCATTCAGTATTGCTAAACCAGGAGAGCTCTGTTAATCAGCACTTCTATGCTTGTCAGTATAATCATAAGGGATATTCATTAATGTTTTAAAATATTAAATTATGTGCAGGATTGTTTCTGTGTTGTGTACCTTTTGTACTCTAATTCTTTGAACTTAATGGACTCAAGATCTGTACGGTGATTTGCTATTAAGAGAATATTTTGTTAATTAAAGCATCCCATAAATTGATCATTCTAAAACAATTAGCTGCCTGTAGCTGATCTTACCCAATATAACTAACAACTGTGGGTTTGTTGGGGTTTTTTTTATAATATGAGTGTTTTCCCAATCATTCATTATCCCGTTTTTCAGATAGTTTTTTTTTTTTAAGTAGATTTTTGGAGTGTCAAATAACTGTTTATTACACAGGATTCATTTCTCTCTTCTTTTGGACATTGCAGGTGAAAGTAGGGAAGAAAAGTTAGGAGACTCTTTGCAAGATTTATACAGGGCATTGGAGCAAGCCAGTCTGTCACCGCTGGGAGAACACCGCATTTCAACCAAGATGGAATACAAGCTATCATTTATAAAGAGATGTAATGATCCTGTGATGAATGAAAAACTACACAGGCTGAGAATTCTCAAAAGCACTTTAAAGGTAAGATATGAAATGGAAGGAGAAATTCCTGTCAAGAGATTCATTCCTGAACTCAAAGTGGCTTATCAGATACTTGGATGACAAAATACAAAATGAAGGATGGGGGTGGCAGGGAGTAAACAGAAAGAACTCGAAGCCAAGTTAGAGGAATAAATGTATTTGGCAAAGAGGAAATAATCTTAACTTTTCATTAACATCTCAAAGCCCTGACTAAATGTTATGTGACTTAGTTCTAGCAGAAAACAGGATGTAATTAATTTTTCCCCCAAAATGCAGGGCTGGTGTTATTTCTCAGTCCTTTGTTTTCCCGAGATAAATATGCCATGTCGTGTAATTAATATAGCTATTAAAGGAACACAGCACGCATGCAGAATGCAAGAGTGGGTACTAACAGAGTTTGAGATATTTTGTGACTATCTCCTGCAGCACATTTGGAGTGAAGCTACTGTGATCATGTTCCATGTAGACATTTTGTAATTGTTCTGTATACACTATCAGTTCCCAGCTCACATGTGCCTTTCTTATTACACATTTCTGTAAGTGCTTACACTGTCTCCAATCTTCTTTTGCCACTCCCAAGCTGGGGAGGAGGTGGTGAGGAAAGGGGAGTGGAGAGGCAGGAAATTGAAGAAGCCGGGAAAGTCAGCCCCTCACTGTGTGTGTATTATGGAGAAGGCCTGCCATACAGACCCTCCCTCAGCAGGCTCTGCACCCTTAAAAACTCAGGAACAGAAAAGAGGAGGGGAGGGTAGAGGTCAGTGGTAGAGTGCGTGCTTAGCATTCAAGAGGTTCTGGGTTTGATCCCCAGTGCCTCTATTTAAATAAATAAATAAACCTAATTACCTCCCCTCCCCCGAAAAAAAAAAAGAAACAAAAAAAAAGCTGTCATACTGCGTATGTGATGCAGTAATTTCAGAAACCAAAAGGTCAAAGGGCTCCTTTGGGAAACATTTCTGATTCATTGTAGGCTGCTGAGGTTTTGTGATTTTGAAACAGAGGTGAGTACCAAAGAGATAAAATAGGAGATGCATGATTTGGAAAAATTTCTGGTAGCAAGCAGCCAAGTGTTCAGAGTCAATTAGCTCTCATTGGTATTTGTGCAAGGACTAACGCAAATCCAGGGGACAACTTAATGGCCTTTTGGTAACTAAGACCAGAAGTTTTTAAAGATCTGTAATATCCAAAAGAATAACTCTGGTGTCCAGCCGTACCGAAGATATCCTCACCCTCCCACGTTTCCGAGCCATACCCTCCCTCACCCCCAACCTGCGCCCCCATTCAGGTCCAAACTACCTGGTTGCAAGAGCAGGCAGGCATTTTGAAGCAGGTCAGGCTCACCTATTTTAAAGACCTGCTCCTGTCCCTCTCCCTCTCAGCCCCTCACCCCTGCCTTTTATGCTCTGTGGAGCCCCCAAAAGTGTTTACTTCCAGGAGCAAAGAGTAGGAGCTCCCGCCAGTGTTGGGTTCAGTGAGTACTGATCACCAGGTATGTGACCGGGGCGCCACTCTTCGCGGGCAAGAGGACCAAAAGTCAGTGTAAAGAAAAGCCCCTCATTGGTAAAACGAACTACACAGCCCTGTCATTTTTAGTGTGAGAAATTAAGAGGGATTGGAAATCTCCCATTAGGGGAGGAGGACAAGGACCCAAGCAGCCCTGTGTGCGTAACAGGCTCAGCCAGCACAGGGAGACTCACAACCGCCATCCTGGCTCTCAGCCCCACTGTCTCGGTCTGGCCCCGACGACCAGAACCACTGCTCAGGGCACAGTGCTGTCTCCCCCCACCCCAACTCGGGCTGCCCCAGAGGCGTGCCTTCCCACTTGCCGGGCCCATAAAGACAGGACCGAGCCTCTCAGCCTGTTCTGCTCCCACCTGGGAGACTCACTGCTCCCACAGGAGATAGCTGCGCTGTGGTGAGTTATCCCATCAGGAAGCTTACTGGGAGGGAGCTTATTATTTGCTGCAATGCAAAAAGGGAGGGCCACTTGGCATTGCAGGCTCTCAGCGCTACAGGATGGGAGCCAAAACGTGCCCACAGCAAGAATGATGTATCTGTGGTGACCCGAGGGGCGTGCTCTCTGTCACGCAAGCATGAGGAGCTAACTGACCCTCTAGCAGGAGAACGGACAGTGCATAAGTAACTCAAGACGTGGAATGTCCACTCGATGGCAACAATCAGGTGTTATAGGGACTTATATGAATGAGGGAGAAAACATTTTTTCCAGTTGTTGAAGGAAGACTTCAATAAGTGAGAGGCTTATGAACTGGATGTTAAAGAATGAGGAAGGTTTCCATAGGCAGAGATGGGATACAGGATGGGCCAGAAGAAAAACTAAACCACACAGAATGGGCAATACGACCCATGCCACGTGTAGAAAAAAGTACACTAGTATTTGAGTCTCAAGTGCTGAGTTTGAGGATACCAGAGCTGTTTCTTGTGGGTTTCTTAATATTTTGCCTATTAACGTTTTATTTTAAATTTAAAGAAAAGTCTGTCCCTCTCATAACTGTTTAATCCGTTTGCTTTTCAGGCCAGAGAAGGGGAAGTAGCCATTATTGATAAAGTCCTAGACAATCCAGACCTGACATCTAAAGAATTCCAACAGTGGAAGCAGATGTACCTCGATCTTTTCTTGGATATCTGTCAAAACACCACCTCAAATGACCCACTAAGTATTTCCTCTGAAGTAGATGTAATCACTTCCTCTCTAACACACACTCATTCGTACATTGAAACGCATGTGTAAGTGTATTCTGCCCTCCAGCCATCTGGTACCTTCTGATCCTTTGAACAAGTATATAAGGTAGATTTTATATCAATGTGTGGGACACTTGACAAGCTATACTTTAATGTTAACAAACTATATGAAACAAACCATATATGGTCATAATACCACTGTCTTTAATGAGCATTTGTATATTTTATATGCAGTTAGTGCTCAGCTTATGTTTACCATGTGCAAAATCAACTGTCTTCAATGACTTAAAATTAACTTTTGCAAACAACTCTGAAGACAGGTGGTCTTCAAGTAGAGAAAACACAAAAAGGCAGTTTTCTATCTAAGGTCATCTTTTCTCCCTTTAAGTTAATTTTATATAAACAAGACTTCAAATCTAAATCACATTTTTTCAGGTGCAGACATCCTTGTGGGTGGGAAAGAATTTAAACCTTTTTTATATTTATTAAATGTTCTAAGAATTTTCTTAAACATTGCACAAAGTTTAATGCTGTAGTTTTATTTTTGTGAACTGTAGATGCGCACACAAGAGTTAAGCAAAATAGAAGAGCATCAACATAAGAAAAGTTCAGGTATCTAATATTCGTCTTAAGAGTCTATTAACTTGTGAAAGCTGGTTAATGGAAATACTATTCCAAATCCATGGGGACACTTAATGGTGTATCAGGGCAAAGCTTTGTAAGATGTTTTTGTAACTGAGACCAAAATTGAAGATAGAGCTGCTTTATTTTCTTGGTTTAAATCTTCCTTTATTTTTGTAGTGATGAAATGCTGATTGTGTACAGAGGAATTTGAGAGTGGATTTTTTAAAACACACTTAACTCACCCAGAAAGGCAGCTAACACACATATATATAATTTCAGCCCAAACTCATGTTTTTAAACTCAAACTTCTAAAAAGCTATAAGGTATAAACTGAAATGAATTAACTTTCCAGTTGGTTTCCAATTTTCCCCCTAGTCTATTAATTAAACTTATGTGATTATACTTCACACAGGGAAGTAAAATATGTTTAGTTACAGGCTGATATGTGTTCTAATATAGAAAACAATGTTGAAAAATAAAAATGTACCTCTCTCCTGAGGAGCAAGAGGAGGGCGGTCATTCAGATATATTACATTGAATTATATGAGAGAAAAATTTTAGAGGTTTTTTTCCTAGCTTCATTGTTTGTTGTGTAAGAGTGGATGAAGTTTATGAAAAAAATCCTCATCATATATTTCCATTTATAAGCATCTCGTTTTTGAAAGTGATCACAGCATGATAATGACTGTGCTGCTTTTTAGTGTCTGGCTGCATACCGTACAAGTCACAATTTACTGGGGTTTTTGTTTTTTGTTTGTTTTTGGTTTTGGTTTTTTTTTTTTTTTTTTTGAGGAGGCGGAGGAGGAAGAGACCCTCCTTTACTATTCTATATCCTAAAATCTACTTCTAATCAGCTTTATACTGTTGCCTGTACAGCTCAGTGAATGTACTTTCATCTCTAAGAGTTCAGATATCTGCCAGTGAATATTTTTGCTGTAGAGGAGAAAGTAAAAACTCCACAGTGGGGATCTTTTTCTTTGCTTTTGAAACCACCATTGAATCACTATCATTTTGCAAACTTTGCACAACTGTACAGGAGAGTGGCCTTTCTACAGCACATTTTCAGTAATCCTATACTTAGTCAAAATGGATGAGAAATCATGTATTAATGTTTGTATGGAATTTTGGGTCCAGTGTAATATTTTTATCATTTAAAAAAAACTATTTGTAAAAACATTTATTTACTGCATGGATATTGAGGCACATTAAATTTGTGGGATTTTGTATATGTTAAAAAACAAAAAAGCAAAAAAAAAACCCAAACAAACCCAAAACCTCTTGTCCTAAAATGAAGTGTGCTTGTTACAGGTGTTTAGACTTGTTGATGTTTACTTGACCAAATGTGTACATTCACTTAAAAATATCTGTACCTGATGGATGTGTCGTGGATACAGTGGCCAGATTGTGCCCTATAAACAGTGAGCAGTTGATGGAAAGACTAGCTAGCTGTGTTGCTACTAAGCGGCTTTTACTTTTGTAAAGTTGGCTCTGTTGTTTTAAAGGGTAAAAATTAAACTAATGAATTTTAAAAGACTTGTGGCTAGCCTAGCATGAAAGAGACCTTTTAACACTATATATCTGTACATTTTATTGCATTAGTTTCAAATCTAGGAGAGAGGCAGCACTGTAAACTGAAGTCAAATAAATTCAGCTCTTACTGAATCCTTATAAAGCACCTATTTTATTCATGCAGAGTCCTCACCACATTTCTTTGTTACCTAATCACACAGCCACCTTCTCCCCACTCCCCACCCCCCAGTTTCAAGTCATTGGTAGGACAAACCAGAAGAAGCATCTGTCCAGTGTATATAAGAATCTTCTCTGAGATCCTACAAAATCAAGCTGGTTTCCCATTTACCTGACACGAACTTTAAAATTTCACCTACTCCTCTTTCCTTTCTCTGTGATTCCTTTGGGAAGGTGGGGCAGACGGTAGGGGAGGGGTACCACCAAAAATAAGTTTAAAAAACTTTTTTACAAATATTCCTACAACATGTCGGCTGAATGAACATTTAAAGAGGATGAAAGAAATGGGATTTTGTTTCGCTTTTGTTAGATGATCCAGTAAACCAGAGGAGTCTGATGATTACGGCTGCTGAAATAAAACTTAACCAGTGAGCTGCCTAAAGCCAGGACAAAAGCAGACTAGGGTAAATAAAGATAAGGGACAGAAAAAGTTAAGTTATTTTCTCCAAAAATAAGGTGCTGTTTTAGAGATTTTTTTCCCCTCTCAGTTGGATATTTATATTAAACCATCAGAGCAGAGCTATAATCATGATTCTGGATCATAAAATCATAGTTCTCCCTACAATGATTGCATGATGTTTAACCAAGGCACTTTCCCTTCCCTATTTATTCAGATAATGTCATCTTCTAGAACTATTTATCACACTCTTTATAGCTAACAATTTTCTGGGTGTTGTATACAACTTCTTATGGTACGTTTTTTGGCTGTTTGGCAGAAAAACAATCACTGGTTAGCACCTAGGAACTACTTTAAGAGGGAAGATAGGGTCATATTTTATTTTCGAAAGTCCATCTCTAGCCAAGCATAAGAATTTCTAGAAATCCCCAGCTCACTGGAGCTGATTCATATATCTTTCTAAATTTGACCCCTCTTGTCTCCCATTCTCAGCTTTAGGGAAAATGTTCCTCTTAGGCCAAGTCCTTGTTTGCCTCGTTAACCTTCAGAAGCCACTGCTTTCAGAGTCCCATTCTTGGGAAAAGCCCACGTGTTGCTCTGTAAGCCTGGTCAGGCGTGACTTGCTCCTCCGTGGCCAGGAGGCTGCACTAACCTATTAAGCCCAGCACTAAATCTGGAGCCTCTCCAGGCTCTTCCTCCCTCTCCTCGTCCCCACCGTCGGCCAGCTGCAGCACTGCGCACTGCAGGCCGCTCCAGGCCCAGGGCAACGCGCAGCCAATGTCCTCCCAGCGGTCCAGGTCGAGGTCATAGCCCACCACGTTGCGGGTAGGCACCTGGCGTGAGTCCCGCCACTTAAGGCCGCCCAGCAGCAGTACGGTCTCCTCTACCACCGCCAGCCCGTAGCAGAAGCGGTCGTAGGGTAGCGGCCGCAGCCGAGTCCACTGGTCGGTGCCGGGATCGTAGCGCTCGATCTCGGAGAACGGCTCGTAGCGCCCCAGAAAGGCGAACACCGCGCCGCGCAGTGCCGCCATGTGGTGCCCGAAGCGGGCCGTGCCCATGGGCGCCCTCTTGCTCCACGCTTGCTCCCGGGGCCCAGGGCGAACACGTCTCGGAGGCTGCTCGCGCCGCCCTCGCCTCTCCCCGCCTTGCCCCCGAGATGTACACGACGCCGCGATCCCGACGGCTCCCGCGTGGCCGTGCAGCGCCCGCGGCAGTGCCCCGGCTGCCGTCCAGCGGTCCCGGCGCAGGTCGTACATCTCCACCGAAGCCAGCGCTTCGCCGCCCGTACCCAGGCCCCG